AGAAGAATGCTGGGCTCAGCACGACTAATAACAACAGAGAAACCAGTATACAAGCAAGCAGTAATTATTTCAGGAACAGGAACAGCATGTAGATGCAGAGAGAAAAAGAAGTTTCCTCTGAAGTTACAAGAGGAATAAAAGTCACTAGAGGGTTGTGCATTGGAGGGGGGATTAGCAGAAAACCACCACCCAAAATAACCAATGCAAGAGAACAAAAGAGAGTTACACTGCAGCTTCACTAATGAAGAAATGTTTGTTTAAACCAAGAGACCAGAATCCAGAACCTAAGGGTTAGACTGAAGGAAGGAGAGTCGCTCTTCAGGTAGGAAGAATTTTGTCCATTTCATCACTGCCTTTTTTGAACCACTTTTTAAAAATAATAATAATAATAATAATACAAACAAGAAACAAAGTTAGGCCCCACAGAGAAATGTAAGATTTGTTTGCCATCTTGGATCAGACAGAGGAACTCTTTAATTCATCATAACAAGAACTGAGCCACCTAATCTTGTGCTGATCTGCTTCCTTATTGGATTCCAATATATAGAGCAGAGGTATCCCTTGAAACTTTATAGTTTTAATAGGGTTTGTCTTTGAAACCCTTTGGGTTTTTTTCCCTTTTCTCTGTTTTGTTTTTTGTAATTAATTTTGGGGGTAATCAGGTATCAGCTGAAAATTTGAACTGAAATTGAAATATTAACACACATACCAATTATGATATAATTTTGCTAGGTTCTAAGTGATAATGCTAAAAATATCAGAATGACACCTGAGGAGCTATGAGCAAACTAAAAGCTCATATTGAAGAAGGTACTAATTTTGTTTTAATGTTTATGTTCTTTCTGTATTTGTAATTTAAATTGTCAGAAATAAAAAGATATGTTAAAAAAAAGTAATAATAGATTCTCAAATAGCATATGTTACCATGCCCTTGTAGCCCCTGATGAACAAAACAGGTAAATACAGAGTCAGAAGTCATCTTCTCTTGATCATGTGACTGAATAGTAAGTACGTAAGTCAAGGCAGATGTAGTAGAAGCAACTGAAGATGTACATGCTGCACTCAAGAAGGTCAAATGGAGAGTGGGACAAGACACCCAAAAGGATGCATAGAGATCATTTTAATTTGTGTGATGTAAAATGCAAGCTAAATTGAACAATATGGTTGTGACTGTGAGCCATTTCTATCACACACTTCCTTTTCTTCTGTTTACTACAATATTGTACTGTACGTCCTGAACCAAAATTCACAGAAGGTAAAAGCGCCCACCTTCTTAGTCCTTAATCCCCTGAAAATTCCAACACACACATACCCAACTTCAATTTGGGGTGGGGAATTAATACTATCATGCCTATCCACATACAAAAAATGATTTGCCATACAATCCTCTGCATGTTTACTCAGAAATAAGTCCCGATGCGTTCAATGGAGCTTGCTCCCAGGTAAGTGTGCATAGGAATGTAGCCTTATTTGAGTGTCCAATTTGGATCCCTCCTAAAACAGCTGCAATAAAATTTCGGCAGTTCAGTCTGCTTCTAACAGCAGAGGTACCCACAATGACTAAATAAAAAACTTTTTATCATAACAGGCCCTCTAACTGTAACCACAACTTCTTGTCTCAGGAACTAGATAAGCATCTCATCAATTCAGTCTCTGAAATGATAGTAGTAAATTTTTGTGCTTCCTGCTGTGCATATCTACAAATTTGCTTCCACAAGAAGGCCTTTCAAGTTTATTTGTCCTTCACACCATATTTTAAAGTGTCAACCCAGAGCAATAAATGTCAGACAGGCTTTCAGGTCTATTCCAAACGGTTCATCATAAATAGATTACTGTCACTTTGTTAGAGTGGAGGTTAAACTTCTTATCACTTTAAAACTACTCGGAACCTAAAGTTCAGCAAGTCTCACAGGGTCAAGGCTTTAACTGCAAATAAGAGGGGAAAGCCCAATCATTCACTTTGCAAATATATCTGCTTTAGAATTGGCTAATGCAGTCAAAATGTATATTGGCTTACAATTCAATGTCAAAACAGTAAACAAAGACCGATTTAGGAATTCTTTGGCATCTTCTGTTCACATCTTGACTAGTCACCGGAATTTATTTACCAAACTAATACCCCACAACCCTAAAATGCCCTCTATTGCAATTGGGGAGGGGTCCCCATACCACTGCAGGGCCCCCCAATGCCAAACCACTATTTCATAGACTCTAGTATGAGTGTTTTGACAGGCTGCAGGGTTCCCATGATATGCCATGCATATTCAGCCAACCACGTGCAGGCTTCAGGGAAAGGCATGATGATCTTCGCAGAAATTAAAGCAGCACCCAGTTCCTGTCAAATATGTGGCTGACAGTCAGGGAGGGAGGTAGAAGAGAGGAGGAGGACTCCTCCAGTAAGGTATAGGAGTCTGAGTGCCAGATGTTCATAAGGAGGCTGAAAATGTGCACTGGAGATGCTGAGGGAGGGGTTCCCCATGCCGGCTGGCAGTAGAGTTGCCAACTTCAAAACATCCTCCACCCTAGCCTGCTCTTGTACCTTTAGCAGCTGCTTAGTTCCTGAAAGTCACGGGGAGAAGCTTTTCACAGCACTGTCACCTGGTGAACTGTGCAGAGGTCAAGCTGCTGTTTAAAAGGACCCAGGAGGAGGAGGAGACATTTTTAATTAAGTTTAAGCTGTCAGATGTGTCAAGGACAGTGGAAATCTTCAGTTACCTATGATGTTTGTGAAGTGTTTATACATACATAAAAGGAAGAATAATATTGGGGGGGTTATTGGTTTGTTTCGTTCTTGTTTTTTATTAGGTACTTTGTATTTTTACCTTGCTTTTTCATGCTGCAAATCTACAGCTGAGATCTACAGCCCCGAGATCTACAGCTGAAGGGTGGGACATTCCCAAGCCTGCTGAAATGGCCAGAGTGCTGGGGGGAGGTGGGGATCAGGGTTCGAATCTCCCCAACTCAACAGCTCATTTGGGTGACCTTGGGCCAGTCACCATCTTGTAAAGGTAAAGGGACCCCTGACCATTAGGTCCAGTCGTGACCGACTCTGGGGTGGCAGCGCTCATCTCGCTTTATTGGCCGAGGGAGCCGACGTGGCCAGCATGACTAAGCCGCTTCTGGCGAACCAGAGCAGCGCACGGAAACGCCGTTTACCTTCCCGCCGGAGCGGTACCTATTTATCTACTTGCACTTTTGATGTGCTTTCGAACTGCTAGGTTGGCACAACGGGAGCTCACCCTGTTGCGGGGATTCGAACCGCCGACTTTCTGATCGGCAAGCCCTAGGCTCTGTGGTTTAACCCACAGCGCCACCTGCGTCCCTCACCATCTCTTACTTAGCCTCTAACCTCCCTCGCAGGGTCGTTGTGAGGATGAACTGTAGGTGGGGGGGGGCAGAACCAGGTGCACCACCTTGAGCTCCTTGATGGTAGGTATATCGGTGCAAATATAAATATACAAATGAATAAGACGGGATGGGGGGGGGAGATGGAGGGCGTGCAGGTGGCCTTTGCGTCATCCAGGTAAGGTGGCTGCTGACCCTGACCCGCGGAGACAGGGGGAGGGGGCGAAGGTCTTTCCTCCGCGGCGCCTCTCTCTCCTGCTGGCCGTGGGGCTGAGGTGTGGGGCGAGCGAGGGGAGAAGGCTTCGCGGCCTAGCCCCACGCCGACGCCTCCCCCGGCGTCCCCTCAGCAGTGGCTCCGGGAGCCGCGACCCCTTCCTCCTCCCTCCTCCTCCTCCTCCTCCCTCCTGGCCTCGGCGCCTCGCCCTCCCCGCCGCCGCGTCCACTCACTTGATCCGGCAGTCCATGGTCGCATCTCGGGGGCGCCTCGAAGGAGGAGGGCGGCAGCACCACCACCCCCGGCGCGGAGGAGACGCGAGGCGGGCGCCGGCCCGGCCTGGGCGGAGGAGGAGGCGGGAAAAGGGGCGCGAGGGTCTCCTCGGCCCTCCTCCCTGCTCGGCGCTCGCTCGCTCGCTCGCTCTAGGCCCCGGGGCGGAGGCCGGGCCAGGCTCCCGGGGGCGTCCGGGCCGAAGGTGGCCGCCGCCGGCCTCTCGCTCGCTTCGTCGGCAGCCAGAGCAGCAGCGGCGGCAGCGGCGCCTCCCTCTCTGTCCCCTCAGAGGCGTCTCTCTCCCAGTTCCTGTCGCGGCTCCGCCGGCACCTGGCGGGAAGCAGGAAGCCCGGACGAGAGACGCTTCCCGGGGCTGAGGCTGTCCTGGCCAGGCGTGAGGGGAGGAGAAGCCGCAGGAGCCGCCGCCGCTTCTCGCCGTACTAGTAATACGTAGTAGTAGTAGTAGTAGTGGTGGTACAGCGACTGAGGGAGGTTGCCAACTGACGCGGGGCGCGCGCGCTCCTGCCGGCCTTTTTCGGCCACCGGCCCGCGGGAACCAGAAAGTTGCACTTTTATAGCGCAGGAGCGGGACGACTCGCCGCCGACTCTGCTGAACAAACCCCTTTTTTGGAGGGAGGTGGAGGGAAGTTGCCAACCGTCCACGTCAAGGGGCACAGTCCACGGCGCGCGAGATCTGGGTTCGAATCGCTGCTTGCGCCCGGCCTTGTTTTCCTGGGCCTGATAGTTTCCCTCTCGAAGGGTGGAAGAGGCTCCCTCCACCTGTCCCCGTGGGAGCCACCCAGTCTGAAGCTGGAGGGGAGGACTGGGTGTGATACACACACACACAAAATAAATTGGAAGTGTATGCTAAGAACATATTGTTCGTGGCTGCAGATTCTCCCCAGTATTTCTTGTTGGTTAACTCAGTCTCAGGGTAGTGAGTTGGTTAAAGATTCCTGCGTGGCAGGGAGTTGGACTATGATCCTGGTGGCCCCTTCCAACACTTCTTTGATTTGAAAAATGACTCCAAAAAAATAAAAATTGTTTGCTATTTAGATATCCAGCAAGTTAGGGTGCCTCTTCCCTCTGTCCACCTCTCCCTTCCTTCTTAGACAAGTTGCCATATTTCTGCCCCTGGCAGGGCTCCTGTGCTTTTCACAGCTACTTTGACGAAATACATTTAACAGGTGCAACTGACGTGGAGGGACCTAATCTTGTATGTTGAATTTTTACCTCTTGTTGCAGCTGTTAAACATACAAGCAGTCTGCAAGGGGAGGAAGGGGTTGTCGTATTCTGAAGAGCAAAAAAGAGGACACATTTGCTGACTTCTACTTTTTAACTATGGATCACTATGACGAGTCGTGGAAAAGAGGACGTGTCCTGGAAAAAGCAGACATATGGCAACCCGGCTCCCACTTCCAGGATGGAAAACTTCCTCTCTGTTTTCAGCCCACACAGCCTATGAACGTACGCACAAGCATATTCTCAATAATGCACATTAGTTGCCCCTCTTGTGTTCAGAAGTAAATCAAAGGAGTTTATTTCCAAGCAGTTGAACAACTATCTTAGAATCATAGAATGGTAGAGTTGGAAGGGACACCAGGGGCCAATCCAGTCCAGCCCCTGCAAATATAGGAATCTTCTGCCCAGCATGGGGCTTGAACCTATGAAAGTGAAATTAAGAGTCTCGTGCACTACCAACATACACTTTCAAGGGTGAAAGTTGGACTTCTACAATCTTTACAATGGAAACTGGTAGGTTGCAGGTTTGATCCCTGTAAATGTCAGCTGCATATTCCTCCATTGCAGGGTGTGGATCAATGATCCTCAAGTTCCCTTCCAACTCTTGTGATTCTAACCCATTTGTGAGTGCAGGACATGGAGGTAATAATTTCACAGGAAATAATAGCATGGTGCTTCCACACTAATCTTTTAGGTATTGACTACCCATTGGTCCTAGACTAGAGAATCCAGATGCTGCTCATTCCAAACCATTGCATTCCAATGTCTTTCCCAATGTCATCCCACTTTTTTCCTCATGGCCCAGTTACTCACAATTTTAAAACTTCCACCATAATTAAAATGCAGTCCTTTCAGAAAAAAACTTGGCTATGGTTACATTCCTGTTGCACACTTACCCAGAAGACAGCTCTGTTGAACACTGTGGGTCTTACTTCCAAATAAACATGCATAGGTTCACACACTGCAGAGCTATTGTTCCACAGAATATGAAAGTATTTGTATATGTGTGTTTTAAAGTGGCTGAAGACACTTTGTAACCCTTCCTTTCTGGTTTGTCTGCCTATCCCTCTACCCCAGCAATGCTTAATTTCTGTCAGTTTGACTCTGCAGTGTGTTATCAGGGTGTCTTTGTTTTTCAATCTTGTCGATAACGTATGTTGCAGAAGTGGTGTCCAGAGATTGTCTTTTGAACAATAAAAACTGACTCTTTGCTACCTTTCAAACAATACAAACTTGCCTCAACCATAAAGGTAAAGGTAACCCCTGACGATTAGGTCCAGTCGCAGACGACTCTGGGGTTGCACGCTCATCTCACTCTATAGGCCAAGGGAGCCGGCGTTTATCCTCAGACAGCTTCTGGGCCATGTGGCCAGCATGACTAAGCCACTTCTGGCAAGCCAGAGCAGCGCATGGAAACACCATTTACCTTCCCACCACAGTGGTACCTACTTATCTCCTTGCAAACTTTGACATGCTTTCGAACTGCTAGGTGGGCAGGAGCTGGGACCGAGCAACAGGAGCTCACCCCGTCGTGGGGATTCGAACCACCGACCTTCTGATCGGCAAGGCTTTAAAAAAAAATTAAAAATCATTTATAGGATACAGGAAATTGGGCAAGGGTATATATTAGATCTTCCATAGTTGCTGTCTCAGAATCTCTTGATACATATTAGCTTTCCTTAAATGAGCTATAACTACTCGGCTGTACAAACAATCTGGGGACATTCTCAGGGCCACTTAACACAGATTAATTACTGTTTAGCCGCCTTGTCATACCTCTAATTAGGGTGATTAAACAGCAGCTCTTCCTTACTCTTTCAGTACAGTATATGCTTATGGGTGAACGTCAGGATTCTTCCCTGTGTTTGTGATTTTGAGTAGAGCCAGTGGGCGGTGGTTAATTAGGATCAAACAACGCAAGAGCGCAAAAGTAATCTTGCATATGCATGTCTATTCTGCTACAATTTCTGGGACTCCTGCAGCTTAAGGCACCACTGATGTGATTGAGTTATCTGGAGCAAGGGTGGAGAAACCTAAATTTCCAGATGTTAGACTCCAAGTCCCATCAGCCCCTGCCAACATAGTGGTCATGGATGATGGGAGCTGTAGTCCACAGGTTACTCACCCCTGAACCATGGTTTGTATTGTCCTATAACTGACATTAAGGTTTTAATCCTGTCTTGCTTTGCACTGGCTTGTGGTGGGTTATTGTTTAAAAGAACCAGTCATTTATATTTCCTCTACAGTATATACTTCTCCTTTCATTATAAATAGTGCTTCCCTGTTTTGGACAAAATTATTTTTTTAAAAAAAAGTTTACAAAGAGGAAAGAAGGGGGCAGTTTTATTCCCATTTCTTGTCACTGAAACATTTACACAGGGTTACAAAGCAATGCTGCAGTCACTGAATGAACGTGAATCGTACACAAAGCCCCCTCCCCATCTCCTCACCAAATTAAAAAGGGATGGGGGAGGGAGGAATGAACCTTTAGTCAGCCAGCCAGCTGAAATGCCTAAATATCACAATGTATTTCAGAGAAACACTCTGATTTTCCATTTTGACTAACTTTGTGGTTGTTTGGATTGCTTTTTAATCAAATACATTCAGCTTTGGTTTTGTTTTGGTTTTTAAGTAGGGAATTTCAAAAGCAGTTTCTGGGATAGCTTTTTTTTAAAAAGAAAAAAGAAAGAAATCTTACAAAAAGCCTGTTAGACATACAGTCTCCGGTGTATGTACAAAGGAGTTTACTAGATGGAGGCGTAGAAATGTGTCGTCAGTGTTACTAACAAAACTGTCTCGAATATTTACACATTTTATTTCTGCTTCACGTTGTTTGTTTATTTCAGGTTGCTTGGTTGCATCTTGCCACTGTAAATTATATGTAGCATTCTGATAGTAACCTGCAATGGACAGAAGAAACTGGACTTAGTTGTGTCTTGACGGAGCCAGAAGTTTCCTGTTACTGTTCCCTGTTCTTGTTTCAGACAGACCATAAAGTTATTGTGCGGTTTCCTGACTTGGTATGTAGGGTGGCCAGGTGAAAAAGAGAACAAGGCTCATGCACCTTTAATAGTTGCAGAGGAAATTTAATACAAGCAATACCTGCTGATTAAATCCTCTCTTCCAAATAACTGTTAAGCTGTCTTGCTTTTTCACCTGGTCACTCTATTGCCTTGTCCTCTAACCCTTTCCATGACACAACCTATCCAGCCTGTAGTTAATTTTGTCCCATGCTTAGCAGGAGAGATCTAAAACAGTCTAATCATAGCCATTTGTAATCTGATCCAAATGTTTCGGCACTTATTTATCGTTAGACACATGGAAAGTGGTGTTCAACAAGAAGTGAGGATTCTCACCTCACTGCGAGGAACTTTCTGTACAATTCCACTTAATTGCTAATAAAGTTTAATCTTTTGGCATGTGGCTCTTGACTGCAACAGCTCCTCCCGCCCCGCCTTATGTATGGCTGTGAATCATAGCAAAAAGTAAATAGAAATCTTGGCTAAAGAGTTTATTCAGTGCAATCTTATGCATGCTTGCTCTGAAGTAAATCTTACTATGGTCAATGAGGAGAGCTGCCAGAAAAGTGTGTTATACAACAAGAGTCCTGATGCCTTAACTTTGACACAGTCGTCGTTCTTGCTTTGTTTTTTGTGTGTGTTGTTTTAGCTACTTGCATAGTTTCTGGAGCCCTAGCATTCAAACTGTGTTAAATAAACACATTTTATAGTTCTCTTTTGTCAGGTTTCTCCGTAAAAACCACTATTCCAATATTATACACTATACAAGTAAAGGTTGCTTATACAGGTCTGTCAACAGTTCTATTTTATAGCAGAGTTTATAGCCAACCTGTTCTCCACGTTTTTTGGTAACTGTTTATCCACCCTTATTACCATTAGTTCCTGCTTTACATATCCTTTCAGTAGAGCCAATGAATATCTGAACTATGTTTGTATGAACACATACACACTGCTTTGACTTATTAGTGCCCTCTTATCTAACTTAATACCTGATCATGATCCTAGATTTCATGCTATGATTTGCTGCCTGATACTCCCAGAAACCTACCAGCCTCTTCTATGAACTTGTTCCTGCCCGTTTTTTGTCACGGCCCCAGAACTCCCCAACAATTGCCAGTCCTAGACCTCTAGCGTCAACTATACAATGCACAGTATTCTCAGTGCCAAGTGGATTTCCAGGAAATTTTAAAAATATATAGTGCTAACTTTAAGCAACAAAGCCAAGGCTTAATAATATCTTTGAGATGCCTTTTGATTAAATTATTCAAAGCAAAGCCTACGCTTTTAATGGTTGTTGGTTAGTCCACTTTTTATTGACTTATCAATGCTAACAAAACCTTGCTCCCCTTCTTATAATGAGACTTATAACAGAATCATAATGATATCACATTCATTCATTCTTTGTATGCCACTCTTCCACACAAAAATAATGACACTGATTATGGAGTTTAAGGTTTGGTTCTAAATTCACATCTGAAGGATTTCTTTGGATTTTCAAAAAAGCCATCAATAGTATTCTAAGATCTCACTTCACCAGCCCCCAAATTTGTACGTAATGCTTTGGTCCACTATGATCTCAAACTGCCAACAAACCACAATCCTGAAGTTGATTACTACTTATTTCTGGAAAAGTGCAAAACAAGGTTAAATGAACCACCTCAATATGACACTAAAAAGTATATGTCCCTGCCTAAAAAAAAAATTTTTTTTTTGCTACCTCAGCAAATATCTCCAGCCCTGTTTCAAACTTTTGTGGGAATAAGGAACTGCAAACTAAAAATAGCTTCAGCCTTGTCACATATCCTACACTGGACTCACAAAGCACAAGGATTTATAATGGTGAGTCACCCTGAGGACCAGTTCACCATCCACCACCAATAAACCAAATTGACAGGGAAGGGGCAACCTTGAAAACAAATGAGAATCGGTATCAATTATGTCAGTCCTTTCTTCATGTGCCTCCTCCACAAGATCTGGATCTGGCCACACGGGAACGGACCTTTTCTTCACTGGATCCCATTTGTGGAATTCTCTCCCCAGGGAGGTTCAGCTGATACCTTCGTTATACACCTTTAGGTGACAGATGAAAATGTTCCTCTTCAACCAGGCCTTTGGTTAATTAATCAGCAATAATCTTTTAAATGTTGGTTAATTCTTGGTTTTGATTTGTTATTATTTTTATTAAATTTTTAATTATATAGCACCAGACCACAAGATGCACCTAATTTTTGGAGGAGGAAAACAAGAAAAAAATATTCTGAATCTCAGAAGCCAGAACAGCAAGAGGGATCGCTGTACAGTGAAAGCAGCAATCCCTCTTGCTGTTCTGGCTTCTAGGATAGCTGCGTAGCCTGCATTCACTCCATAAGACGCACACATTTCCCCTTACTTTTTAGGAGGGAAAAAGTGAGTCTTATAGAGCAAAAAATACGGTATATTGTATTTTTATGTTGTGAACTGATGAAGGGCTGTATTCACATTTAATAAATAATAATAAATAAATAAAAATTGTATGCCACAACTGCTGCTCATATTTTGTTAGCTAAAAAGTGGAAAACCCAAGAATTACCAACGATAGAAGAATGGCAGATGAAGATGATGGACTTTTCGGAGCTAGCCAACCTGACTGGAAGAGTCTGCGACCAGAAGGAGGAGGAGTATCAGGAAGAGTGGATTAAATTTAATGATTATTTAGTTAAATATGTTAAGTTAAATTAACTGAAAACAACTTGCAGATACTTAATTGGCTTAGTATTTTATTTATGTTAATTAATATGTTTAATTCCATAATATGAAGATTTAAGGATGCTAATGTTTAAGTTAAATTTCATAAGAATTGTGATTTGGAAAACCGTTAAAAGGACATGCAATGAAATTCAACCAAGGGGAAGTGAAGAAGTCACTTAACAAAGTTAATAAGTGTAATTTTCAATAAGGTTATGATTTATGTTTGTTTGTCTTGTATGTTTGTTTGTAAAATTGTGAAAACCAATAAAAAAATTGGAATTAATAAATAATAATAATCATATGCTTGCAAGATTAGCTATTGTATCCATTTCCAGTTAGGGTATGTTATTCTGCCTTTCTGTAGCCTACTTTTCTGTTCATAGCCTCAGCTTAGTCCAGAATGTGAACACAACTGGTGCATGT